GGGGGGGGCAGCGCAGATGCAGCCGGCAGCTCGCCCGGGGGCCACCCTAGCCCCCCAAAAACACCCCATGGCAATGGGGCGGGGGCGTGACCTTGCCCCGGGGAGGGGGTCCCAGGCCTAGGGCTGTTCCCAAATCGTTAAGATTTTAATCCCAGGGTGAGGCCAAACCCCGAACCCCTAATTAAACGCTAACAAATTAGGGGGGGGGGGGCAGGAAAAGGGGCCCCAAAATGCAGCTGCTTGTTACCCTTGTTACCGGTTAATTGGCTTTTTCAGGGTCCCCAAAGCCCTTCCCAGCCCAGTGGGGCCACAGGGGTGCGGGTCAGCACTGGAGGTGTGTGTGGTGGGGGGCAGCGCTCCGATTACCCTGTTTCTGGAGGAAAATGCAATGGGTGAACACATTTATACACTTATTTTTACATCTGTATAAAATTATATATGTTTATATCAAAATTGTATCTATATGTAAAAATCCTACCTATGGTTATGGAAAATTACAACTATATTTATGTAAAAATATGTGTATTTTATATCTCTATATAAAAGCACCCTATATTTCTATAAAATATATCTATGTAATACCATCTATTTATAAATATGTATCTATATCAAAAAACCTGTACCTGTATAAAAATATATGTATTTTTTATGTGTCTCTATAAAAGCGCCCTGCCCAGTGCTGGTTTCTGAGGAGCAATGCCCCAGTATCTCCATTTTTCATGAGAATCTCCCCCGGGGCCATGCCTTGCTGGGGTTTTTGGGGAGGGCTGGGCCCCCCCTGCCCCATTTTGGGGGGGAGGACACCCCGTCCTCAGGTGCCCACCCCGCCCCCCGGCCCCCTAATCCCGATTAGGGTGGCTCAGGGTGGGGGGGCCGCTGCCCCGGCTCTAAATTTAACACCGGGGTGTCAGGAGCAATCACGTCAGCGCCCCGGGATAATCCGGCCCTGTGCTCCCCACCCCCTCCTCGAATCTCCCCAAAAAGGGAAAGGGAGAGGGGAACCCCCCCACCCCAGACCCCAAATTAGGGCCCCACACACCCCCAAGTTGCCCTCCAAACCACAAGTTTTGGGGCACGGGTGGGGAATTTATTTATAATAAAGAAGGCGGTGGAGATGGGAGGGACCGGGATTTATTAGGAAGGAAACGAGGAGGATACGGTGAACATTGATGGGTTTTCTTTATTCCGTTGTCACCGCGGGGCGGAGAAACGCGGACGGTACAAAGCTCAAACGCACGAAGGGGAAACGAGGCAGGGGAGACCACAGTTCCATCCCCTCCACTGGAGGCAGAGGGAAAGGAGCAGGAATCGGAGCTGTCCCCGTCTGGGGGCTTCGAGAAGCCAAAGCCCCAAAGCTCCTCTTTCCACCCCCAAAAATACACCAGGTTTGTGTAGAAAACCAGGGATTTCAAAAACTGTCCCCATCCCCCGCCCCACTACGTATTTTTTGCAGCTTGGAGAAAGGAAAGGAAAGAAAAAAAAAAAAAGTGTACAAAAAGGGGAAAAACAAATCCAAAAAGTCTCATAAACCCCTCAGAAGTTGTGTGTTGGTTTTTGCCTGTACGTCGTGAATGGAGTCAGCTCTCGCGACGTGTCGCAGCCACTACGTGTGGGAGCAGGAGAAACACCCCCTCCACCCCCCCC